TACGTTTACTTTTCCTCGGTCATTTAGTCACTAAATCCTGGATATGGGGTCAGCGTGGTAGCGTGTATACTTCATTCGAATGCGACCTTTCCAAAACAGCAACGTCCAACCAAGAGCTGCCGCTTCGTGAAATGAAGTACGCAGCCAAGTATTCCATCTTCGCGATATTAAAGGCAGTTGGCACGATGATTTGGTGCTCGGCCTAAAATGCTAGTAGGGCGCTATATAGTGGGGAAATGGCGAAAGAACGGAGTGAAACGGTCAAAATCCTGCGAAAAAAGAGCCTCCGTTCTCACTGTGTTAGTAATCAATTTTGGACGAGTTTCCCGTAGGCATCTTGCCAATAACCGCTACCGAAGGTACGGCTGCATATGTGTACTCATATATCCATGCAGCATCACGGCCGCTTCATACCAATCCCTTCGCTTCATAATTTGCTTAGCAAATGAATCAATTCGAGCGTCAGGAACGGTCGTCCATTTGTGGGCGGGCGTTGGGTCGGAATGTTGTGGCGGGCCCTTATAAGGGCACCTCCCTTGGAAAAGGCATTATGCAGCGCCTGCTCAGGGTCGCGGAATTCCGTCCTGCCAGGCGTATTAGTCCTACTCGTCTTCGGAGGATTTATCGTGCCAACTGCCTTCAAGTGTATTCCCTGTCATGACTGGATTTCATATGAAACAGCAATAGATGAAGGCAGAAAGTTGACATACCAAAACAATAAAACGGATCTACAGTAGTGAAGTATTCTTTCTTGAAATTCGATTCACTTTTGATGAAATTTCCGCTTGCACGATGAACACGCTGGAGAAAAAGATTTGACTGAACGTAATCCAGTACTTGAGCGTTCCATGTTGATGACGATAAACACAGTGCAACCAGACAAGTTACTGAAAGGAAAAAATTGTGTATTCCATCAAATTTGAGTGTTTCAATGTATACTTACTATCGAGATTATCGAACATCTGATGGTACAAGTTACACGGCAACTCTTCAAATATACCAAGTGCAGTAGAAGTACGCATTATTTTCTGAGCAGCAGATTTTTGACTATCTCCAGCTTGCTGCTCTAAACAAGAGGATATAGAGACCCGGTTGTCTTCAAATAATGACAGGACGGTTTCCCACTTCTCGTCGGCATTTCGAGCTTTCTGGGCGTAAAGTACACGTATAGATGTAGCGTCTCGAACATTCCGAAGGCACGCTCAGGCTGCGTTCATACTTTGCGTCAGCGTAGGCCGGCGTACACCAGCGTGCGCAGCATTTTGAGCGTAGTCAGCGCCAGTGACTAGAGCACTATAGGTATCGATCTAGTGTACATAGGCGCAACGTTTCGCGGGCAGTTAAAGCTGAAATTGCCCGCGAAAACGCTGGTGTACGCTGTCATACGCCAGCGTACGCTAGACCTATATCTATACTTTCCTACTCGCGCGCTGGTGTACGCCGACAAAGTCTGAACGCAGCCTCGTAACGCTTGCATTAACTCAACAACGCGGTAAGAAAAATATATA